TGTCTTTTGAGAGTATCTTGGCAACCATATGATTTATCACAGACTGAGCATTTATATCGTACCCCACCAATATGTATCCGTGCATGTCTCTTGAGATCAGATTGTTGACGAAATGTTTTTTCACAGACATCGCATTTAAACGGTTTAACGCTGGCATGTATGCGTTCATGAGCTTTTAGGTGATGTTCTCTACCAAACGTTTTTTCACAGACATCGCATTTAAACGGTTTCTCGCCGGTATGAATACGTGCATGGTTCTTGAGATGAGTTTGTTGACTGAATGTTTTTTCACAGACAACGCATTTATAAGGTTTTTCACCAGTATGTGTCCTTTCATGTCTTTTAAGACTTTGTTGTAGACTGAATGTTTTTTTACAGACATCGCACTTAAAAGGTTTCTCGCCGGTATGTATCCGGGTATGTTTCTTGAGATCAGTTTTTTGAATGAAGGTTTTTTTACAGATATCGCATTTAAACGGTTTTTCGACGGTATGTGTGCGTTTATGAATTTTTAGGTGTTGTTGTGTACCAAATGTTTTTTCACAAAACTCGCATTTAAACGGTTTCTCGCCGGTATGAATACGTGCATGTGTCTTGAGAGCAGATTGTTGACTGAATGTTTTTTCACAGACAACGCATTTATAAGGTTTTTCACCAGTATGTATCCTTTCATGTTTTTTAAGACTTTGTTGTAGACTGAATGTTTTTTCACAGACATCGCACTTAAAAGATTTCTCGCCGGTATGTATCCGTGTATGATTCTTGAGATCAGATTGTTGAATAAAGGTTTTTTTACAGATATCGCATTTAAACGGTTTTTCGAAGGTATGTGTGCGTTTATGAATTTTTAGGTGATGTTGTGTACGAAATGGTTTTTCACAGAAATCGCATTTAAACGGTTTCTCGCCGGTATGTATACGTGCATGTGTCTTGAGAGCAGATTGTTGACTGAATGTTTTTTCACAGACATCGCATTTAAACGGTTTTTCACCAGTATGTATCCTTTTATGTTTTTTAAGACTTTGTTGTAGACTGAATGTTTTTTCACAGACATCGCACTTAAAAGATTTCTCGCCGGTATGTATCCGTGTATGATTCTTGAGATCAGATTGTTGAATAAAAGTTTTTTACAGATATCGCATTTAAACGGTTTTTTGCCGGTATGAATACGTGCATGTTTTTTGAGATAAGATGGTTGACAGAATGTTTTTTCACAGACATTGCATTTATAGGGTTTCTCGCCGGTGTGTATGCGTTCATGAGTTTTGAGGTGAGATATCTGACCAAATCTTTTTTCACAAGTATTGCATTTAAAGGGGTTCTCTCCGGTATGAACGAGCCAATGTTTTCTAAGGTATGATTTTGATGAACAACTTTTCAAACAAATACCACATTTAAATAAGCCATCTTTGTTTCTAGTATACTCTTTGATTCTGCTGTTACGATGATTGACTTTATTTTTTTGAGGTGCTTTCTTTTCAATGGAAGTACTGGAATGCGATTTCGCAATATGCCGGATTATATTACTTTTGGTTGTAAACCTCCTTTGACATACATTGCAGTCGAACCGACGTAATTTGTATATATTTTTCTCAGAATTGTTTTTTATAGTTTCAATAAAACTACAATCCATAATTTTTGTATTATTCCAGGTATCGGTCGCTTTACATGAAATATGAATACTGCAACACATATGAAACAAAATAGATTAATTAAAGATTAAAATTTCAAACATTGCAAACGGGTTGAAATCTAATTTTTTTTAAAAATAGCTGAAAAACCTCTATATTTAGAGCAAAAATTAGTAATAAAAATTTCAAAAAATAAAGGTCTTATCATAGACCAAAAGAAGAAAAAAATTTTGAGGAGGTTAAGCCGATGACCGCGTGGTTTGACTCAAAATGCCCTATATATATATATATATATATATATATATATATATATATATATATATATATATATATATATATATATATATATATATATATATATATATATATATAAACAATACAAAGTTACGCTAACATAATGTGGTACTGCAGACATTGACCGGTCATCATAACCACAAATAAATAAATTTATTTTTTTTTGTTATTTTATTTAACATTATATTGATAAGAGTTAAATTTAGTTTTAAGCCAATCTATTATTATATGAACAAGTGGTTCCTAATAAAGGTTTAATGATATCGAAATGCTAACATTGATACCGACGACGGGTTTAAATAGGAGGACAACATAATTACAAGTAGCTTTATTTAGAATAAAAATAAATAGTATTAAAAATCGCCTTACTTATAACTGCTGTCGACTTCATTTTTTACTAAATACTCCTCTGTTGTAGACATTTTTTTGCTTAAGAACTGCACATCAAACGGTTTAGATTCAATGTCTTTGAACGATTTTTCCACCGAGTGTTCTTCTGTTTCATCATTTTCAGGTTTAATTTTCAATATATTATACCGCTTCAAAACTCTATAATTGACATTCAACATTAGTTATATGTTTATATGACGTGAAAGTAAGAAGCCAAGACGATAATGATTAAAGGTAGAGGATAGCCCATTTGAACGACTAGATTAATTTTAAGTGGCGTAGATCTCGTGTCACTTAAATAAACTCAGGATACACGGGAGTTAATATTTCAATAACTAAATAAGTGAAAAGTTTTTTTTTTTTACTTAGATGTACATGATTAGTTTCCAACAGCTGAATTAAATATTTATTGGTTTTATACTGTGTTTCAATCACTAATTCGTCAAAATTGTGTGTCTTGTCAATACATTATAATACTCATCAACTCACTAATTAACAAAATCCAAAAAAATATTCTACTGTATATTCAGGCTTTTATACATAAAAAGATCATTAAATAGGCCTGTTGTGTAAGCATAGAAGGCCTATTAGCTAAAAAAAGAGTAAAAATATTATTTGTTTATTAAAAAAATTGAGGTCAGGCCGATGATCGCGTGGTTTGATTCAGATTGCTCTATATATACATATATATATATATATATATATATATATATATAACAGTAAGTGTTGTGCGAATATACACTAACATAATGTGGTACCGCAAACATTGACCGGTCATCAGGCCACAAATATGTAATTTTTTTTTTTGGTATTTTGATTTAACATTATATTGATAAGAGTTAGATGAAGTTTAAAAAAATCTATTATTATATAAACAAGAGGTTCCTAATATAAGTTTTATGATAGCGAAAGGCTAACATCGATACCAACGACGGGTTTAAAAAGGAGGCCAACATAATTACAAGTAGCTTTATATAGGATAAACATACCATGATGTAATTTATTTCATTTTAAAAAATCTTACCATTTCTTTAAAAAATAAAACCTAGAAGAAACGGCTTTTCAAACGACTTTCCCCCCTTAGTGTACAATTTTTTTTATAATAGCGTGTATCTTAAACCCCAGAACTATTTATACTAATTTTTTCTTTTACAACTGTTAAAATGTAGATATGTATAGATGTGTACATATATATAACACGGTATGTCTCGTGCGAATGTACGCTATCATAATGTGGTATTACAGTGTGATTTAACATTAGATAGATAACATGAAGATGTAGTTTTAAAACAATCTATTATTATATGAACAAGTAGTTCCTAAAACAAGTTGAATAACGGAATGCTAACATCGATAAAAACAATGGGTGTATAGAAGAGGACAACATAATTACAAGTTAATAGTTTCATATAGGATAAAAAATAAATGGTAATAAAAATCGCCTTACTCATAACTATTGTCGACTTCATTCTTTACCAAATACTCCTCTGTTGTAGAAATTTCATTGTTTATGAACTGAACATCTAATGGTTTAGGTTCAACGACTTCAAACGATTTTTCAAAGGAGTGTTCTTCTGATTCGTCTTTTTCTTGTTTAATTTTCAGTATATTATTCTGCTTCAAAGCTCTATAATTGAAATTTAACATTCAGTTATAATTCTTTACATGTATAGGATTATTAAGAAGTCTTAACTACAATTTTAACTATTGTTTTTTAAATATTAAAAACTATTTGAATTTACCTTAATTAGATAAATAACACAAGTCTACAAGTATGACTGTTAGGTAAAAAGCTAACACAATAAAGATCAAATCTAGGCGATAGCCCATTTGACCAACTAAATCCTTACTCATTGTATATATATTTAACTGAAATTTTATTTACCAAACAATTATTTTAAAAGAGTATATAATATACTAAACATTTTAACTTATGGTTAACAAGTAAAATAATATCAAATGTAAAGGGCTAGTGGATTAAGTTATTCAAGGAAAGTTTATATTTCTCTTTACTTTTTCTAACGTCTTTATAGCATTGATAACTACGACGGGTGTTTAGAATTGGACAACATAATTACAAGTTAATAGTTTCATTTAGGATTAAATTTAATTCTTAACAAAAATCGCCTTACCCATAAGTATAGTCGTCTTCATTCTTTACTAAATACTGCTCTGTTGTAGAAAATTCATTGTTTATGAGCTGCACATCTAGCAGTTTAGGTTCAATGACTTCTGGCGATTTTTCAAAAGGGCGTTCTTCTGTTTCATCATTTTCATGTTTAATTTTTAACATACTATACCGCTTCAAAATTCTATAATTGACATTTAACATCAGTTATAATTCTTTACATATATAGTATTATTAGGAATTCTTAACTATACAATTTTAACTATTGTTTTTTAAATATTTAAAACTGAATTTGAATTTACCTTAATTAGATAAATAACACAAGCCTAGGTATTTATCACTAAATTCGACCAAGTTATTATGATTAAAACTACTACGGATGTTTAGAACTGGACAACATAATTACAAGTTAATAGTTTCATTTAGGATAAAAAATAAATCGTAATAAAAATCGCCTTACCCATAAGTATTGTCGTCTTCATTCTTTACTAAATACTCCTCTATTGTAGAAATTTCATTGTTTATGAACTGCACATCTAGCAGTTTAGGTTCTATGACTTCAGGCGTTTTTTCAAAAGAGTGTTCTTCTGTTCCATCATTTTCATGTTTAATTTTCAACATATTATACTGCTTCAAAATTCTATAGTTGACATTTATCATTAGTTAAATTTCTGTGCCATATATGCATCGAGGTTTAATAGGACAACTTCACTACACAATTATAACTATTTTATTACGTAACAAATTAGGTAAGAATAATGATATAATAAAGAAAAATTTAGTTAACATTATTTGAAAAATAAAAACCATCAAAGTTTTGAGAGATATATTTTGTTTTTTTAAACTTTTAATCTTAGATTTTAATTTACTTAAATTAGACGAATAACACAAAACTACAAGTATGACTTGTAGGTAAGACGCTAACACGATAAAGATTAAAGCTGTACACCTATAGATGTTTATGATTCTATTTATTCACAAACAGTATGTTAAGTCAACAGGAGACAGAAAACACGGCAATAATGTAATTAAATTCAAAATACATAATAGTAGGTACTCACACAACGTAGAACTGTAAACCGGTGTTCAGGGCTGCTACTAAAAACTTAAAATGATTAACAAGCAAAACAAAACTCAATTGTAATGCAAATTGAAACGAAATAAAGAAACATGAGGCACTACGTTAGTTATTTATCACTGAATTCGACCAAGTTATTATGATTTAAAACTAGAAATACTCATGAATCAGAGACGGGGCATCAATACCGAAAACAAGTTATACCTATGTCCTATTTGCAAAAATCTAATCTAACTATTTATAATTCACAGAAATTCAGAGTGTACAAAAAGAAATATAAATTATTAACAAAAACAAAACTTGTAAATTGTGATTTTAATGCAAAATGAATGACAACATAGAAATTTTCTAGACAGATTTGTGATAGCGTGTGTTTGTGTGATAACGATTGATTGCCACAAATGGAGGTACTTCACAGTGTGGAGGTAAACTGTCGTGCGTTTTAGGCGGCAAAAAAATCAAAATCTCAACTCGTTTCAAAGCTTGTTGTAAACTTACCTTCATTGACATCCTATAACTTGTATTAATGCGTTTACCTAAGACTTTATCCGTTTCGCACACATCTTTCGCTAATTGTGTTAGAACACATAGGCCCCACACTAGTAAAATAATATTTAATATTATAATAACAAAAAAATAGTTTATAAGAAAGCCAGTGATTTGACATTCCATGCCAAATCACCCGCTGTGTGTGCAAGTGAATTTTTGAAATGCCTCAAACTTACATATTATGCTATGCAGATAGTTCCATAAAATCAGTAAACTGAAGAAAAATATGTTTTAACATTTGTTTGCCATATTTAATAATTTGATGTGAAAACACATTAAGTTCACGATCACGTTACTTAATGAATTTTTAATTTATGTCTTAAAAAGTTATAGGTTCTTAAATATATCACTTTTTAGTGAAATTCCAAACTTTAAGGTTACATATAGATAAAAAAAAAAAAATGTTAAAAATATGATGGATCAGGAAAAAATGTTTAAATTTTGATTTTAAGTTAGAAACAACACTAAATGAAATTCATAAAACTTATAATTTGTTTTTTAATTTTTAAGTACTTAAACTTTTAACATGTCTAGTTAAAAAGAAATGTAATCATAATTGGTGAAATAATAATACATTTTAATTATTATAAAAGAAACCTTCCAAATTTTACACATGCAATTTTATAAGGTATGTTTTTGTAAGATTTTAGTTTAAATTTATTTAAAAATTTAAAATAAAATGCATTATTATTTCGACAATATTATGATAACAATTAAATGATTTCTAATAAAATATAATTTTTCGCTGTATTTATATCCGTTATTATCCAATAAATCATTTTTAATTTTAATATATTTATTTTATCTGATAAATGAATGGTCGCATCGAATGGTACTACGAAAATTAATAACATTATTATATTAAACATTTATCAATCAAACGGAAAGCCCAAAATGTTACAGACACAATTAGTACGATCTTCGAAACAACTAGTTCTTAAACATTTTAAATAACGCATCAGTTTGTTTAAAAATCAAAGATAACAATCAATTTAAATATTATAATGTATACATTTATAAAATATTAAAAGCTGTTGAATAGTTTTCCACTAGTTTTACTTCATACTTTTACAAAAGATTTTAATTCTATACTTATAAAATGTTTATTAATTTAACACATCATCCAATTTGTTTGGGTAAAAACATTGAATTACGTTGAAAACGGGTCGAAATCTATTTTTTTTGAAAAATAACTGAAAAACCTCTATATTTAGAGCAAAAAATAGTGATAAAAATTTCAAAAAATAAAGGTCTTATCATAGACCAATAGAAGAAAAAAATGTTGAGGAGGTCAAGCCGATGACCGCGAGGTTTGACTCAGAATGCCCTATATATATATATATATAAACAGTCAGTCTCGTGCAAACATACGCTAACATAATGTGGTACCGCAGACATTGACCGGTCATCATAACCACAAATAAATAATTTTTTTTTTTTTTGTTATTTTGATAACAGTTAAACGTAGTTTTAAACCAATCTATAATTATATGAACAAGTGGTTCCTAATATAAGTTTAATGATATCGAAACGCTAACACTGATACCAACGACTGGTTAAAATAGGAGGACAACATAATTACAAATAGCTTTATTTAGGATAAAAATAAATGGTATTTAAAATCGCCTTAAAAGGATACAAACCGGCGAAAAACCCTTTAAATACAGGATTATTGTATAGGCAATATTTATGAAAAAAGTGGTTTAAACAAATGTCAACCATGTCAATTAATTTACTGGTTAATTTGTATAAGCTTCATGGTATCATTTTTAATTTAAATCATTTTGTCTATGAGTAAAAGCCATTTTTGTTAATATAATAGTACATTAATTGTCCATCGCACAGGCCAAATCAGTGATTTATAGTCTTAATTATATTATGTTCTGGCCAAATAAACAATAATCTTGTTGCTTAGTTATTGCGCTACTTTAGTATCGCAATGTAGTGTTAATAACTAAGCAAGTTTAATTATGAGTGCTATTTAGTGTCATTTTGGGGCTGGACAGCCAAGGCTAAAGCATGTTGCATGCTAAACAATTTTATTAAGGACCACGATGTTTTCTAAATTACTGAACCAATATGAGACTATAAGCCTGAACTCCTCTTTAAATTGAAATGCTAAGAATATATTTTATTTACTTTTTATATTTTCTATCTACACTTAATAATTTATTAAAATCTCGATTGGCCGATGCTGGTTTGGTTAGAAAATAATACTATTCGTAAGGAAAGTATTAGAAATAAACATAAAAATCCTATTTAATTACATTGATTTCAATGACTTTTACTCATAATTTAATAATAAATAAAAATATTAAAGTAGGTATATTTTGCCAACTTGCCCGAAAGACATTTATTAGTATCGGTATCAAAAAAAAAAAACACATTTTTTTAGTGAATATCTTATGATTTCAGAGTGTTATCGTTAAAAATAATCATATAACCAAATTTGTTTTTGATTGTGCGGTGTCAACCAAAAACCAATAGATTAATTTAAAGTGGCGCTGATCCTATATCACTCGACTCAACTCTGAGTAAATAATAAGTAATAAATAAATACCTATAAATTATGATTCTGTTTATTCCCAAGCAGTATTCTAAGTCAATGAAAGACAGAAAACACGGAAACAGTGTAAATAAGTTAGAAATACAAAACAGTAGGTACTCGCACAACGTAGAACCGTAAACTGCTGTCCAGGGCTGCTACTTAAAATGTATAATAACTAAATTACAGGCAAGACAAAACTCAATTGTAACTCTAAAACGAAACACGACGCAATACATTAGTTATTTATCACAGAACTCGACCAAGTTATTATGATAAAAATCAAGAGATTTTTACAAATCGGACGTGTAGCAACAATAATGTAAACAAATTGTTCCTATGGCATTAAATCTAATTGAACTAGTAATAATTCACAGAAATTCAGAGTGTACGAAAAGAAATCTCAATTATTAAAAACAACAAAAACTTGTACTAAAATGTAGGTTTTTAACGCAAACTGCAGGAAAACGCTAAAATTGTCCCAACAGATTTGTGATAGTGTTTGATTGTGTGATAACGCGTAATAGCCACTGGTGGAGGTGTACATAAAAAAATTTCAAATAAATCATCAGACATTATTAAAAATAAATATATTTCAATGAAAATAGTAAAAAAACATAGTATGTAGTAGTAGAAGTAGTAGTAAGTAAATAAATAGGGACGAGGTCCCGTATTCACATATAAAAATATAAATATCCATAAAAGCATTGCAACTAATGACAATTATGTGCTTATAAATTACATTTTAGTGTTAGGATGGATACGATTGGGGTTAATAGACGATAGTCTGTCTATAAAATGACTGTGACAATCATAAAATAAATTTAAGTAAATATCTTATGACTTCAGACTTAAGTATTATCATTCAAATTATTCTCATAAAAATATATATTTTTTGATAGTGAGGTGTTAACCAATAGCCATTTGTTTTCTTGTTTGTCGAATCTTCCACACCGAGTATGTCTAAAAGTATTCACAAACACGAATTAATCATTTCTCTTCATAAGAACGTCTGCATTTTATAATTATGAGTAAATAAAAGGTAAAACTATAACGAAATAACGTAATTTCAACACGCAAATAAAAGCAAGCTTTTAGTGATATTTAATTTAGGTTATTTAAAAGTTTAATTAACTTATGTATAGTTGGTTAATAAATCGATGGATCGAATGTATACAAAACTGACCATATAAAAATCATGAAAGAATACTATATGCAGTTTTACTAGGCATTACAGTAATAACTGTATATAGCGTCCACGATGATTTATCATCTTGCATTTTGTATATTATATTATCCTTAAATTAAAAAATCAAGGCCCTTTTTGCACAATTCACTTAGTAGTGCCTACTTAAAAATTAAAAAAAATTTTATATTTATAATATGTTGAATAAAGTAAATTGGATATAGATAATAACGTTATTGATAATGAATATTTTGGAAATATTGTGAAAATACTTTATTGTTTTAAACCAAGCGAAAACATATTTAACTAATTAGTATTTTAATAAATAATAGAAACAATATAATAACATGCTTATTATTTAACGTGTAATTAATATATAAGTGGCAAAATTAATCAAACAAATATTCATACAGATGAAAAAATAAAATAAAAATTTAAAAATAGTTTCCATAAACAAGATTAGTCGGACAAAATTAATACATATTTTAAATTAAAAATCTAGTTTAAAACATAAACTAACATAAAATACTCGTATATTATACATAGTTTCTCTTTGAAACAAACAGTAATTGTAAAAAAAACTGTTACCAAATAATATAAAACGTAATTTTTATAACTATGATTAATTGGATTTAAATAAATACAAATTTGAAATTAAAAATACAAACTTACATACCTCAATAACTATTTTTCT